GAAGCCAACCATGAAATGTCTGAAGATCTGCTTGTAACTGACTATTAATAGATTCAATATTGAAATCAGACAAAAAAAAGAACAGCATCATCAGCATACATTAAAATATTTGAATACTTCAATATTTTTGGAAGGTCATTTAAGGTATAACAGGAAAAGCAATGGGCCCAGTATGCTACCCTGCAGAACTCCCACGGAACAGGGCATTTTAATTTTGAAGATGTAAGAAGTGCTCATTAAACTCCTTGCATTTCATTCTCTCCAGGACAACATAAAAGACATCAAGCGCAAAAACATTTGTGTCGCCAGCACCACACATTTATAGGACAAAAAATCCCCTCTGATTATACAGTTCACTTAGATAAATGAGAAGCATCAGTGGGGAAAAAATGGATTGAATTAAACTTGATTTTGATCTTATTTGCTTTTCAGCACAAAACAGAAGACCTATCATGATGTGATTCCCATTTCCTGCCTTACAGAGTTTCCCAATGTGGTTCAGATGGCGAAGGTGGGTAATTAATATCATCCAGGAGTCATTTCATTTTTAAAACAACTTCATTTTGTTGTTTTATTTTCTCCATTTCAGCTTGTTTGTGAAGAGGTGAACGTAGACAGATTTTACCCTGTCCTTTACCCAAAGGTAAGTTTCTCTTTAAGTCATCTATCAGGCTGATCGCAGCGTCTGGACGCCCTCTCTGCTCTTCCCTCTTCAGGCGTCGAGGCTCATTGTCACCTTCGATGAGCACGTAATCAGTAACAACTTCAAGTTTGGAGTCATTTATCAAAAGTTTGGCCAGGTGAGTGCACGTCAGAGATACTGCAGGTTGGATCCACGTGTCAGTCCATCCTGAAAAAACCCTCTCTGTCTCCTGCAGACGTCAGAGGAGGAGCTGTTTGGGAACATGGAGGAAAGTCCCGCCTTTGTTGAGTTCCTGGAGTTTTTGGGGAAGAAGATTGAGCTTCATGATTTTAAAGGGTTTGAACTTTTTTTTTTTTAATTTTCAAGTGGTTTCATCACAATATTCCACTTAGCACCGCCTATCAGTATCTGTGCTGCTGATGTTTCATTAGAGATCCTTTTTGTCAAGTTGCTGATGTGATTAAGTGGGGAGACAAAGTGCCGTCAGCGTCCCCTCAGTGATGAATACTGTAACTGATAGATCTGGAGCTCTGAAACCACGAGCTGTTCTTTAAATAAAAGACTCACTTCACCTCCTTTCTCTCTTAATCTTCACTCTGCGTCTTTTTTTATTTTTCTTCTTCTAAATCTTTCTTGTCCTGTTCCTTTTCTGTCACTTCGCATTTCTCTGCCGTTAAATCTCCTGCTTTTGCTTCTCCTTTGGTTTTCCAGTTTTCGAGGTGGACTCGACGTCACTCACGGGCAGACGGGGACGGAATCTGTCTACACGAATTTTCACAATAAGGAGATTATGTTTCACGTGTCCACCAAACTGCCTTACACAGAAGGAGACTCACAGCAGGTACTGGAATTGTGTGAACGCTTCACAAGAATTCACATTACTGGGATCTTTTTTTTTTCTTCTGTACAGTTTTTGGCACATATCTCATTCTGCAATTTTTGTGCCAGTTTAACAATTCATATATCAAAACGTTCAGCTCCTTCAGAACATTCCAGATATCACTTTTGATATTTCAGCTATTTATACAAATTTTGCTATTTCACTTTTTCTGCTACATTTTTTCCCATTGAAAATGAATGGAGCTGTTTTCAACACCCTTAAAATTCTTCAAAATGTTTCTAAATCTTTACAGCACCTTACACCTTTTGTTCTGATTCTTCTCTTTTTACCTTCCTTTTGCTAGTTTTAGTTTCTATTTTGCTAATTTTAGCTTTTTTCTGCTATTTGAGCTGTAATTCTACTTTTTTCTGATATTCTTCTGCTATTTTCTACATTTTTGTGCTTCTTTTTGCTAATTCAAGCCATTTTTGCCTCTTACAGTTGTTTCTGCTATTTTCAGCTATTTACAGCAGTTTTTGCTAATATTTAGCTGTTATTAGCTAAAGTTGTTTTTTTAGGCTAAATTTATATTTTGGTGGCTGTTTCAGCTTCGCTCTGCTTAATTCAGGCAAACGTGTGCTCCTTATGCTTCCTTGTGTGAATTTAAGATTCCCTATACATTTTAGCTGTTGTACTGCACATTTTGGCTGTTTTAACTATTTTACATCAAATTGTCACTTTTTTGTACATTTATTCTTGGTTTTTTTTCTACTAATTTGACATTTTTCACTCCTTTCACCATTTGGGTGCTAATTTCAGTTAGTGTCTGCTAAGTTTTAGCTTGTTTTTATGCCAATTGAAGCTTTTTTTTTTCCTGCTATGTCAGCTATTCTGYTAGTTTCTGTTTTTTGTGCTTCGTTCAGTTTTTCAAATTGAACTGGCATAAACAGTTTAGCTATTAAACATTTTCAGCTCCATTTCAGCAGCTTTCAGCTGAAGTTTTCAGCAATAAGAATTCACACTAGCATTTTTGCAGAAAATGAAATTTCTCTAGTTAATAATCAACTATGTCTTTAGGTTATTCTTTAGGTTATTATTTGATTAATGAACTTGCTATACCAATATTAAAAAAATTGACACACTTTTTATTACGTTTGCTTTCTTTCTTATATTATCTAAAGGAAACCTTTGACACTGCTCAGAATTAATACATTCTTTAAATACCTCTGTAAATCCCTCCCATTGTCTCTATTCATCTTAATATTTCCCAAGATCATAAAAAGCTTTAAATATTTTAAAGGATTAGTTTGACAGTTTCTAGATCCAAACGGCAAAATGGCCAAGTGGATTTTTGAATATTTTATGCATTTTTTAAACGTATCAGTTCACATTTTTAATATTCTTCTGCCGTACTTAAGATATTTAAATCGGTAGCATCAGAACACAAAGAGCTGAATAAAATTAAAATAACAGGGTTTAGGTTTTATTGTATAAGACTGTAACATTTAACATTTTGACTCCTATAAATGTCTAATTAATGCTACTGAATGTGAGTCGTTTGCTACTAATCTTATTATTTCTCACCTGTAGATTAGCTTCAATCCACTCATCAAGCCAAAAGAAAATATTATTTTCAAATGTTGAATGATTAAAAAAACTTAATGTTTCTTTCAAACATATTTCTGTTCAGAAATGAGTTCAGCAAACGTTCTTTTATTCTCATTTCTCTTGCTGTTCATGACAAACACATCCAATTCTCTCGCTGAAGTTCCACTTTTACTTGCCTGCAGCTGAAAACATTCGTCTCTCTGATGTTGTTTTGTAATGAGATGCATTCGATCTCAGTTGCTCCTTACTGCCTCAAGTGGATTGAACTTTGTTACCAAAGTAACCTTGCACAGTACGGTTCATAATGCCAAGACATGGAGACAAACAGAGGACGTAAACACCACCCACATGGGATGTTTCATGTGGGAACGGGCTAAAGGAGGCAGGGTGAACACTTAACAGCGAAGACTTTGTCTTTTTGCTGACACTTGTGACTTTAGAAAACGGAGAAACCTGCCAGCTTCAGAGCCAGATGGTTGATTGTTCTTATGCTAACAAACAGGCTGGTCGTAACAGWGAGACGCTATAAAATAATGAAACTGCTACAGGAAAAGTAAATACTGTAATCATCTCCTAATCCCAGTTTAAATATTTGCTCTGTCTTGTGTTTGCAACGGGTTGACTCATGAGACATTTTTCAGGAGCGCCAGCCAACATGACAGCTGCAAACTCTCGACATATGTGAAGTCGTTCCATTAAAAGGMAGTGTCATTCCTGCGGAGCATCACCATGTCTAGAGCTCTCCAAGGGCCACACTTTACGTCACTACTGGCTTGGGAGTGTGCCGAGGCAGTCAACCAACTGGGGAGAGTTAKTGTTACTATTAAATGGGTACCAGGACATACTGGCATCTATGGTAATGAGAGAGCTGACCACCTTGCAAGAGTTGGTAGTCAAGCCCACTTTAAAAGACCAGAGCCTGCTATAGGCATTTCAACAACAATCTGTAGGGCTGTCCTACAGGCATGGATCAGACGTCGACGCTCAATCTATTGGAGGGAGCTGATGGAATGCAGACAGGCACGAGAACTKAAAAATGGCCCAAATCCTTGGTTTGGWAGAGYCCTTCTTGCCCTGACGAGGAAAACTTTAAGTACTTTGRTTGGAGTCCTAACTGGGCAYAACTTGCTCAAMCGCCAWRAAATGGTGATGGGACTYCRTGAAAATGGTCTGTGTGATGCCTGTGGCATTGAATYAGAKACCTCTTTGCACTACTTGGGCCACTGCTTGGCCCTGAGTAGTCAAAGGGAAAGAATTCTTGGAGAACCTTTTATGGATCCCGAGAAGCTCAGAACAGAGTGTTTCTAACTTGGTGTCCTTCTTTCGAGGGACRCGAAGGTTTTATTAAAAGCTCAGTCTCTCTTTTGGGGAGAGTAATGGGCCCACACATGAGGCCCCCGCTCACATGGGTTTCACCCATCCCCATATACCATAAGCATAAACATCACCAGGTCTATGATAGTGTGTGCACTGAACTGTTTTTTTTTACATTAACCCTTTTCTTTATGTAATTAAAAGTCTGACACAGCTTCCTTAAAGTGCATCCATCAAAACTATTACATCACCATCTACACTGCCTGGCCAAAATAAAAGTTGCCACCTGGATTTAACTAAGGTCTATGATCTGGGGTTKCTACAGTTGGTCAGGTCTAGGTTCAGGTGCTCAAAGAGTGAGGTCAGCTGACCTGAATATACTGAATGACCAGGTTATTCGACCAGTGGATGTTTTCTTCCCTAATTTTCTATTAAACCGCTTACAGCATCATAAAGACAATTCCATGACTGGACATTGGTTTTTAAAGTTTTTCTCTGATTACATGAGAGTATTGTTGCTTCAAGGCAACAAGGTATTAACATATTAATGAGTGTGTTTACTTTGAAGCCAAGAAGTAATGATAAGAGGTCATAACTTAACAATAAGTTCATTTTTAATGGTTATTAGCCTGGGGAGATAGGATAACTCCTTTTAGTTCCCTTGAGACCTGCTGTCCAGGTCACTAAACATTATCTCGGTCACAGTAAGAAGTGCAGATCCTAAGAGGGAGCGGCTACCAGTAACAGTGGTGACCTGGAGGCGTCCTGAGCTACTGCGCTGATCCAGAGGCTGGGGTTCACGAAGGGAGCGACCACTGGAAGAAAGGCAGCTAGAGACCGAGCTAAATGCTCCCGCCCCTGTCTCCTGGAGGAGACACGCCGGACTCGGCCACACAGACCAACCCAGGTGGCTGTAAGTCTGGTCCATCACCTCCAAACCAAGAGGGAGACATCGTCTCTTCACCAAGACCCATCGGTCTCCTGGTGGGTAAACTGGGGGAGGAGCCACACAGGAAAACAATGGCCATATTCCAAGATGACAATGCCAGAAATCATCAGGATGGAATTTTGAAAGAGTGGTTCAGGGAGCATGAGACATCATTTTCACTCATGGATTGGCTCCACAGAGTCCATTAAGTATCTTTGGGATGTGCTGGAGAAGGTTAGACTCTACCATCATCAATGGAAGATCTTGGTGAAAGATTAATGCAACACTGGAAATAAATCTTGTCATTRCAGAAGCTTGTTGAAACAATGTCACAGCGAATGTGTGCCGTGATCAAAGCTAAAGGTGGTCCAATGAAATATTGTGTGTGACCCTTTTTTTATTTTTTTGGTGGTGACTTTTTCTTTGGCCAGGCAGTGTATGTTGGTTTACTAAATATTAGGGTGCAACGATACAGAAAATTCACGATTYGTTTCGGTTCGATACTTTCACGGTTCAATATTTTTTCGATACAAAAAAGAGAAATTTCCATGCCCCTTTTAACTTGTAATTTATTTATATTATTTATGAGCATTTGTTTAATCTCAAAAGTACAGTTTTTAAATTAAATGTTGCTGAAACAGCAAATTTCTCAGTGGATCTGTGCTCAACAATGCAGGCTAGGTGGAGTAGTTGAGCACAGATCCACTGATCCTTTAACAGAGCATCTTTAGAAGAYAAGTTGATATAATTATTTTTAAAAATCTGTATTGTTCGATACAAGTGTGCATTGAACCTAAAGCACTGTTCGATTATGGTTAGATTCGGGTTCATGTATTGTTGCACCCCTACTAAATATTGGATCACTGTCTTGTCTGATCTGAGGCAGTGCCCTCTTCCAAAGTACAAAATTTGGGACAACTGCAAATTAATATTCAAATATTTTTGAAAAAACTAACAAAAATTGAGATAGTCGTGGGAACTTGCTCTCAATTAGAATTCCTTGCAAAAGGCAGTAAGGTGGGAACTTCTATTCATATTTAAGGACAGAAGGAAAGTGTCCCTGAAGCTTTAGAAGCACAGCRAGCTTTCTGAAAGAAATTGGATGAAAATTTAATACTGGAGCACAGTCACTTTGTCCTCCGAGTGCAGGAGTGTCCTTTAGGCACCTTAAAGCTTTCTGACAGCAAGAGAAACACAGTTTTAGTACAGTGACGTCAGCTGACTTTACAAGGATTTCACTGATACTCAGATTGTTTAATTACATCACCCTTTAATCACAGTCATAAATGGGAGCGATAATTCATGTTATCACTTCTAAGATTTCTTTTTAAAAGAATATTAATTCCAAGAACTATGACTCATGGGGATTACATTATCTTTAATTTAACAGTAAAAAATAATTCTCTACTTTCTAAGCCAGGGGCAAAAGGATGAATTTAAAATAAAATCCATTTTTTTGCATGATTTTAAAGCCCAACTTTCAAGTCCTTAAGTGTTTTTTTTTTTTTTTTTTGGCAGGTTTCTATATGGAGGACCGAAACTGAGATAATTGCAAATAAAAGCAGAAATATATAAATGAACTAATAATTAAATACTTTAAGTGTTTTCCTCCTTGCCTTTGTTTAAACTAAACTTTAAACATTAAGCTAAACTAATGCAGCACAAGCAGTCGCTCTGCACATGGATCCTGCTCCTTCCTGTTTGTTGACCAATAGGAGAGGAGCTTACCCAAAAAGGCCCGCCCACCTTATTTGCATAATGAGGCAGACATGCAAATGATAAAGTGAAAGCAGGAGACAGAGAAATGTAGAAAGTAACACATGAAAATAAAAAAAAACTTGTGGGAAAAATAATAAAACAAAATATTATATATTTTAAGAGACTTAAATGCATGTACAAATAAAAGGAAAAACAAAAATGTGTAGTTTTAAAAACAGTGAAATGTAAATTGTTTGCTAAAATTTATCATTTATTGGAACTAAGCTGGAAAAATAAATATGAAGGTCAATTAAACGATAAAACATGAGCTAAAGTTCTCCTTTTTTAATTGAATTGGTGCATTTTAAGTGTAATTATTTATTTATTGGTCCATTTATGTATTTCTTCTTCTATTTTTTAACTATGTCAGTTATGGTCCTCCATATTTCTAGAGCTGAAAGTCGTTATTCATCCTGTTGCAATTTATTTCATTTGATGTTTTCCAGCTGCAGAGGAAAAGGCACATAGGCAACGATATTGTGGCCATCGTGTTCCAGGAGGAAAACACGCCCTTCGTACCGGACATGATCCAGTCCAACTTCCTGCATGCGTATGTCGTGGTGCAGGTTGAGAACGCGTGCACGGACAATGTGATCTACAAAGTTGGTTCCACACACTGCCATTTCCTTCAGTTCTGTATTTGTATAATTCTCAACATAAAACGATCCTAGTGTTTAAACTCTGCTTTATTCGTTTGATCCAGGTGTCTGTGACAGCAAGAGATGACGTACCTTTCTTTGGGCCTGCTCTACCCGACCCAGCTATCTTTAAAAAGGTCAGCAGCCACACAAACGGTCCAGTTTTTTAACGAACAGACGTGACAAATATTCACTCACTCCACCACTTTGTACTCATCTTCCTCAGGGCACCGAGTTCCACGAGTTCCTCTTCACCAAGCTTATAAATGCAGAATATGCGTGCTACAAGGCTGAAAAGTTCGCCAAGCTCGAGGTGAGAAGCKCGCCGGGCGTTTTTACGCTCAAGCGCACACGTTTGCGGCGATCTACTTCTTACCGTGTGTACCCTTTAAAAGAAGTGACCATTATAGATTGAATGTCACCGTGTCGTCCTCAGACGCCGATCACGGAAAGTGTAGTGTTGCAGTTTATCATCCTGATGGGGTTTCTACCTGCCGCCTGTGAAGCTTTGCTTAAAAACGAAGCGTTCATTCAAATTCCAGCTTTTTGCAACGTTTCCTTGTYGTCAGGAGCGCACGCGTTCGGCTCTGCTGGAGACCCTGTACGAGGAGCTGCACATCAACAGCCAGTCCATGATGGGTTTGGGTGGAGACGAAGATAAGCTGGAGAACGGGGGTGGAGGAGGAGGCGGCGGAGGCTTTTTTGAGTCCTTTAAGGTACAGCATCATATACTATTTTTATTTTTTTRAAGAAATGAGGCTCGCTGGTAATCTGCAATCCCACATGCATGTGCGAGAATGGTGATGAGTGGAGAGAAAACAAAATAAAAAAACCTTTAGGATGTTTTTTTTTTATGTCCTCCCCTGTCTCTTGGCTGGGATTCTGGGTATTCACACATGAGAAAACAGAGCATAGCAAATGTGCGGTATCTCAAAGGACCAGTCCTTGTGGCTTTTGCTGTCCTTATTTGGCTGCGACTGCTGAACTCAGTCTGTCTTCACRTGGTGGTGTGATTCTGAGGCTGCAGAGTGTCCCGTTGTGTTTAAAAGGCACTCTGCTCTGACTGCACGCGGTCAGCGGCCACGCTGAAGTGAAGCTCGGTGACAGTAGGATGTGTGACGGGTTGTGCACAAGCGCTTGATTATGTCATAAAAACGACAGAACCTGTGTAACCGGTTGGTGCAACATGCTAGGAGCCCTCCACTCACTCCTCTGACTAAAAAAAAAAACAGTTTGCTGCTGATTTGAGCAGAAATAACTCAAGGTTCAGGTAGAATTTGGAGATTATTTTTGATAATACTACCATAAGTTTACAACTAAGAAAGAAAATTTAGAAATAAACCTGCTACCTGCTTTTATCTTCCTGCTGGGAGTGATAGCACGTTTTTAAATAAAAAAAAAACACTTAAGAGATGCTGGTGCACGTACCTCACTCGCTCTATTGATCAGGCGCCTATAGTTCTGTATCTGGTGATAATGACCCGGCATTACAAAGCTTATGATGCAGTTTGCACAAGACCCCCCATGGGCAGCATTCCTTTCCTGTTTTTCTCTTTTTCTCTGTGTCAATTAGAGCTTCTCAGACACCTTTGTTGAATTTTTCTGCAACTATTACCACTGTTTTTCAGCCTTTTTCTCTCCAGTGTTTCTGAAGATCCACTTTTGTTTACTACCCTCATAATCTGCATAAAATTGCCTTTGCCCTTTCACACAAATATATCACAGAGATCCCTTTTTTTCAGCCCAGTTGTGCAGATTTCATTGTCCTGCTGTCTCTGCTATCCTCAGTCTCTGTCCTGGTCTTCTGTGTTCACACACTGTCACATGACAGTTTGACTCAGACTCGTTCGTGGTAAATAATTACTAAGAAGATGCAGCTTTATTTTTCCTTCACAACAAAACAGCACAGCTTTTAATGAACCAGCATGTATTCCATGTATTCCTGCCCATTGATCCTCATTACCCTGGAGGGTTAGGAAGCAGCCCTGCAGACATAACCAGTCTATTTGCACCCCTTATACACCAAGATTATGTTAAACCTTTACAATCAATTGAAAGATAATGACTAAAAAWAGATTGGCTTTAATCCAAGAGACGTTCAATTCGGACACAGTTTGCCCCTTTATTTACATTTATTTAGTTCCTGAGATTAGTCAGTGTGTTGCGTTTCCACACAGCACCCATGTGGATCCACTGACTATCAACATCTCGTTTCTCCCTGCAGCGGGTCATCCGCAGCAGAAGCCAGTCTATGGACGCCATGGGCCTCAGTAACAAGAAGTCACATACAGTTTCTACTAGTCACAGTGGCAGCTTTACCCACAATCCCGCAGAGAGCCCCAAAACCCCAGGGATTGTAAGTAGCCCCATTTGTGGTTTGCGTGTTGCCCACCTAACAACATTCATTTATAGGGTACACAACGTAGAGGCTAAATAAAAATTCTAATTAATGATCTTTCTAAGAGGTGGCACTAGAAAATGAGCATTTTCTGTGAAAATGCAGTGTGAATGCTGAGCGCTAAATAGGTTTGCTAAAATTTCAGTCGCTAACGCTAAAAGAAGCCAAACACTAGCTAAAAGCTAAAAGGAGGAAATCGCTGGTTTCTTGCTCAAAGCAGCAACAGGTTAACTAAATGATAAATGTAACAAAGGTTGAAGCAAAAGGTTAACTAAAAGCTAAACATACCACATGGGTAGCTAAAAGGTAAAGGTATTGAAAAGACAAAAGCATCAAAGAAATAACTAAAGACTAAAACTATCAAAACACCAACCAAAAACTAAAAGTAGCAACAGGTTAATTAAATGCTAAATGTAACAAAACTCTAGCTAAAAGAAGCAAAAGCTTAGCTAAAAGYTAAACATATCACATGGTTAGCTAAAAGGTAAAGGTATTAAAAGTCTAGATAAAAGATAAAAGCATCAAAGAACTAAAGACAAACTATCAAAACACGAACCAAAAACTAAAAGTAGCAAAAGGCTGGTTAAAAACTGGAAGTAGCAAAATGGTAGCTAAAATCTTAAAGTAGCTAGAAGACAACAATGCACACATTTGCTGATTTACATTTCAAAGAAAACAGTGTTTTTGAAGGAACTGAATTAATGTCTGTTTTATGGGGAAAAGTTTTGTAATAATAATAATAATAATAATAATAATAATAATATGGTTTCAATGTATGGAACTAAAATAGCAAAATCCTATATAAACATAAAGAAAAGCACAAATTCAGTATCAGCATTCACATTTTCACAAGTTATTTTGACAGTGCAGTGTTTTACTTTCATCATATGTTAAATTCAAAGCCTTTACTTTATTTCCTGACATTTCTAACTTGTTCTTTGTACAAAACTTTCACTAATTGCCTTTTTCACTTACTGCTTATGGACTTGTCTTTTTTTCTGTTTAAGAAAAAAAGTAGAATTGCATTCATCCATTTTCATCCATCAAATGAACCTTTGTTATTAGACAGGCAGGCAGATTTATAGGATTTAAATAAAACTATAAATTTTGCTATCAATCAAGTTACTTTGAGATTGTTTTTTTTTTATTTCCAGTCTAGTTTCTATCCAAAGTGAGCTCAGTCAGGAGCTGTTTGATTACCCAGACTCCCCCCCTTGTTGCCCTGCTCTCTAATGGTGTTTTCCCCTTGCAGATGTTGCAAACACTTGATGCAGCTTTGTGCATGTGCGGCTGAAGGTTTTGCATGGCAYGAGCCAAAGAGCTCAAAGGCCCGTTGGTGTCTCTCATTATGACAGTGTTTTGTTCCAACATTTTTTTTACCCTATTTATAAAAGATTTAATACCTGTGTGGGTTGTGTCAGCTCCTCTTTGGCCTTCCTCCATCTTCTGAATGCTTCAGTGTACATACATTGTATCCTTCAGGGCATGCCTGCTGTGGTGACGCTCCTGCTCTGCCCTCCTATGTTTGACCTCAACCTGCCTTTTTGTCCCCTATAAAGCAATCCGCTGTTTCCTCTGTAATCATGTCTTCTATTTTAACTCATGCTGCAAGCTCTTTTTTAAGCCGTTTCGCTCCCCATAGTATAAATTCTCTGTGCTCTGCGCATGAGATCTTATGAAGTGATTCTTTCTTTTTTGCCTTTGTTTTTTCCCCCTCCCCTTCTTTGCTTTTTCAATCTTTTATCTCCCTTCTCTTTCTGCTTTCTGCCCTGTCTTGTGTTGCTCAGTCATTGCTTGTCCCGGGGAAAAGTCCCAGTAAATATGGACGCCGAGGCAGTGCCATAGGGATAGGAACAATAGAAGAGGTTCAAGTTTATTCTCTCTTACTGTTTACCAATATTTATTGCTTTGCCTTTGTGTTTTCCTCWTGTAAAAATGCAGTAACTACTTCCTGTGTATTTAGATCAAAATGTCGTAGCTGTGGGAGATTGTCAGATTAGTATGTAATTAGTTGTAATGACACATGTTTAGTTGTAGTTCATTTACTCCGTTCACTCATACAGAGAACACTGCTGTGTTCTGCAGCTAATATRCAATCCATCCATCCATCAGGGTTTTATTCCTTGATTACTTTAGTATAAATCTTTTAGTTTTTTMAGTTATAATTTTCATGTTTTGCATTCCATAAAAGCAAATCACTATATATTAAACACTTTTTTTAATTTAAAGTTTACCAGTCTGATTTTAGGATATTAAATATGAATTTCTTTCATAATTTTATATAAGCCATAAAGCATTGTCTGTAGCACATTTTACTATGCAGCCACATTTCACTTCACCACATCTTCCTATGCCAAGTACTGCATGTAATATATTTCCTGTGCCATTACGGCCCCCTTCCCCCTCCCAAGATGTTTGTCTTACTTTCCTCTCCTTATACCCGCCGCTAGTCGTTGATCATTCCTGGGAAAAGCCCAACCAGGAAAAAGTCTGGACCGTTCAGCTCCCGTCGCAGCAGCGCCATTGGCATCGAGAACATCCAGGAGGTCCAAGAGAGGAGGTGAGAGGACAGCAGGGAGTGGGTAGTGAAGACAGAATGGTGTGGCAGCAGATGGACGGAAGGACATTAAAATGAGAAAATTAGCCATTACAGGATGCACTCTGTCATAAGCAAATTCTTCTTGACTGCTTTGATTAAGAGGAGGACTTTTTCTGTTGTTGTTCTTGTATAGCTCAGTTTGTTTTTTTGTTTTTTTTTAATCTTACCAGGATTACATTTTATTTATCAAAATTATTAATGACCAATAACATTTGTTTTCAAAAGCAGCAGATTATTGGTTGTCAAACTCAGTGAACATGATGTGATTATTGTAAATACTACTTAGTAGATAGCGACCTATGGTCACCCCTGCTTGGCTTCTGAGATCAGCTGAGATCTGGTGTGTTCAGGGTGGCATGGCCTCTTAACATTGTAAATAACTAAAATATTTATTTTCAACTCTTTCACCTGTTTTGACCTCTGGATCTCCACTTCTGTGCTAAAGCCGGGAGGTGTCACCCAACGCCCAGAAAACACCCGACAGCAGCCACTTGTCACAGGAAAACAAGTCGGACAACTCCTCGAGTCACAGTTCACCAGAGTTCACTGCCACAAAGAACAGGTGAATATGACCTTTGTGTTCATTAATGACAATAATGAGTGGGTCGGAGGATGTGGTTAATACAAAGAGTGTGATGGCAAGATGGATGGAAGGATGGATGGATGGATGGATGGATGATGGATGGATGGATGTTTGGATGATTGATGGATGGATGTTTGGATGATGGATGGATGGATGGATGGATGGATGGATGGATGGATGGATGGATGGACGGATGGATGGATGGACTGACGGATAAATGGATGGATGGATGGATGGATGTTTGGATGGATGGATGGATAAATGGATGGATGGATGGACGGATGGATGGATGGACAGACTCACTTGATTTTAAATTTTGCAGATGAGGAGAGAACAAAAGTGTCAAATTGGTTTAGACTTTTCAAAGACAAACGTAACAAATGAGTCGTGACTCTGCTGCCCACACAAGTTCCAGCTCACTGGAGTCACAGGTGTTGTTATGACCAGAGTAACCCAGGTGTGTAGTTCGGCCATGTGTTGCAGGGCACCTTCCATCCCCGAGGCTCAGGACCTTTCTCGCTCCTCGTCCAACGCCAGCAGCTTTGCCAGCGTTGTGGAGGAGCACGAGGCCGAGGAGGAGTACGAAACTGGACTGGTGGGTATAAACACATCATGATTAAAACATATCTGTAAATGTCACTTTCCTCATTTAAAAACAAGTGTTTGTCTCGCCAGTAATGCTGACACGTTTGTGCTTCCATTAGCTTTTGTCTGACATCCACTGGGAGAAAAAAAATGATAACAAAGCAGCTTTTTAATCGGCTTTTTGCTGCTACCTGCCCAACTGGAAAAACAAAGGGCACGAGAATGATGTAATTCATCAWATCTCATTAATGACAAGTCTGAAAATATATTGCACAGGAAAACGTATTATCATGGTATTCATGTATTTTATTTAAACCCATTTGCATTTAAATACAAACAAATGCAACTATAATATTTGTGTGACCTTGTTGACAAGAAGGAAAGTATTGCAAACTTTTTTCTTTGCCTTTCTCACAGGAAAGTGTTTCCTGCGTTACGCCAGTAAAAAAAGACTCTTTTCTGTATGGCTCTGCAGTGGAGGACAGTTCCTGCAGCCAGGGAGGTTTTTCAGGTCAGTTAGGATGAAAGGGGTTCWTTTTACCGAGACAGTGATGTATATGTGTAAAAATATTTAAGTGGGAGTTTCTTATTGTGTGGGAAGAGTTTGTCCAAAACGTGATTGGTGTGTTTGAAGTTTGTGTGGACGTAGTTTGTTAAAGGTTATTAGTGTATGCTGGGCAGCTCAGTCAAAAGGACCAGAAAGCACCTATATTTTTAAATATAAATAATTTTAGTCATAACTCGAAGGAAGGAAKGTGCTGATTGCTTAAAATATGAATGCGTTAGATATGGAGGGATGTTTAAAAATTGAACTTTGTCAAAACAGCTCTAAGCTATTTGAACACAAATAACATTAGTCATAACTTTAGACAGGAAGATGCTAAACGCATGTTTAAAGTCAATAAAGTCTGTTTATATGTTTACGATAATTTTAATTTGAGACATTGTTCTGTTTAAACTATAAACAGACAGTCAATAACTTGTATTTACATGTTCACAATGTTTTAATA